TGGAATGGCTGCAAAGAAAGTTCAATTTCATGCTAATAATGCTTTGGTTGGAAGGGAGACTCTCCCCAAATCCTACTTGATTTTAACCAAAAGGCTGAAACGCAAGGCGGGGGCGGGAACTATTATAAAATGAACCAAATATTATGCCGATTGGGCCGACTGCACAATACAGGCAAGTATTGGTAAAAGTGGGCGAGACACCAAAATTTCAACCAAGGTCGTACAGAGTCCCGCCTCATTAACTGTACAGTTTCGTCCCAATTTCGATGACGAATACCCCTGGTGGGGAAATACAGACATCAATGCACCTTGAAAATTATGTCCTCTGAATGTCCCTGTTCTACGCGATGCAGAAAGGCTTTTATAAAGCACCTTAACATGTCCTCTTGAAGAGCACGTAACACTTTACGGCTGGTGGCAATCTTCAATTCATCAGTTATCCGGAAATGATATGCAAACATTTTCTTTTTCAGTTAAATCCTGAGGAAGTAGTCTGGAACTGTCATAAGTAGAGAGAGAGGGATGGTTACGTCAAGTCGCCAAAGCAGAAATAAGAAGATTTGGAAATGTGTCAGTCGCATTTGTCATAGTGAGGTTAGGCCGTCTTTTACGCAGTAACACAGTACACCCCGATAGCAATATATGGTACTTATACATCCCGCCCACTAGTACTCCTTTGCATTCTTTATGAACTCATAGTGCGAAACTGATTCTACCAGGGCGGAAAGCGTACGACTATACGTGTCTAACCACAGAAGATGACAGCAAAAGTACCGGTGGCTTCGCCTTTTTTACCTGTAAACTGGGGTTTTAAACTGTATTCACCAAATGTCTGTACTATAATTCTGAACTAGGATTTCCCAACTAAACTAGGATTCTGTGAATTTTTATGAATGTGGGCTGAATGATGATAAAAGAGGTCCATAATACAGTAGCAACTGATTGGCATGATCAAAATGCTGTTGATTACAAAAAAAATGTGTTAATAAAACTGATAATTAATTTGTTTACTGATATAAAGGTTTAGCATGTTGTAAGGAAGAAATCATGTAAATTAAATAAAAGGAAAAAATATACTTAAATTTATTTAATAATTACAAAACAAATTTTAAATATATTTTTAAATCAATAATATTTTTTAAATATATGAATTTTTATCCGATAAGTGCAATTTAAAAAAAGTAAACTGCAAGAACACAGAAAAACACAATTAAAAAATAATATATATATATATATATATATATATATATATGAAGAAAGCAAAAGGAGAATGGGGGGGGAAGAAACCAGGTTAAACACCTTTGAATGAAAGGATTTCAAAATTAAGTTACGCAATTTTATGCGAAATATTTAAAAAAAATTAAAACATCAAGCGCAGTCATCAAAATATCTGCCTGTTGCTTTTCTATATAATCTGTTATATATATAATCTGTTAAACTTTCTAAGGCAGAAGATAACGGTCAAGTAATTTCCGAAAACACTAGGAGTCTGAACAGTTCATCAATGAAGTTTTACATACTAGTTCCAGACAGTCAACTAATAATGACCTTTTTCGTTAATTAAAATGCTGTGAAAAGGCATATTTATGTATTTCTAGTTGCATGCATATTGAGTTAAATTCCATTTATGTTTTGAACAATATTTTTCTCATCGCTTACTTCTATCATTCAGTTAACGTGATCGCATTAAGCGACATCCATCTAATGTAAAATTAATTAAGCTAATTAATTAATAAAAAACCTTTACTTTTTATTAGGGTAATATTCACTATGATATTATGTTTATGTAATAAATAACTTCTTTCAAAAAACTTCAAACCTTAAATGGCTAGTAAAAGTCAGTGCTACTCTATCCTTGCTCCAAGTCCACTTCGTCAAATTCAGTTGATGACGAATGGGTCTTTGCCAATAGTAAACAAGTATTGCCCCACATCCATCACTAACAATATTTATTTTAACTTAAAATAATAACCAATTTTTTTTACCTTTTTTTTACAAAATGAAAATTTAAATGTATCGATTTTGAAACGTATTTTACATGAAAGCGGATTAAAATACTTTATTCAAATTAAAATGCAATTGCACTACAAATAAAGTATACAAGTCAAAGAAGCCATGAAATTAGATCAAATATTCATAAAAATTTATCGTACAAATAATCAGAATGCTTTAATTAAGAATTTTCACTTCATAAAAACTCGTTAAAAATTACTTTGTATGAGTTTATTTTATATATATATAAGCGGCTAAAGTGTGTGTCGCCGATAGTTTATTGTTGCCACTCGGAAAAATGAGAGCGGAAATTAAGGTTTCCGCAGTTTTTAATTAATATCTGAACCGATTAAAGTCGTACGAAGATGTGAACGGTATCGATGGATTCGGAGAATTTTTTGGAATCCGAGGATACGCGTCTCGAATTTCAACTCGGCGCCGTTCCGTAGATATTCGACAAAAAAGAATTTGGCACGTAGCCAAATCCTTCCAATAGGGAAAAACCCAAAAAAGAAAGTGGAAAATGTAGGGAAAACGTAGGGGAAAATTAGTTTTTAATTAATATCTCGGCTAATTAAAGTCCCAAGAAGACGCGAATGGTCAAAATGGCGTGCCACGGACCATCGTAATCCAACGGTGTGCTTCGCTAAGCCCCCCGAACCAGCCGTTTCGAAGGAGATGATGTTACTTACCCCCCCCTGTATATATGCGGCTGTTTGTCGCCAATAGTTTATTGGTTGCTTACGTAACTGTGCTAGCCAATGGGGTGAAGTTGCCACGGCATAGGGTTGTCGTTTCAATTGAGACGTAGACAATTTCCTATAAAACTTGCCTTTGCTATGACCATCAATAAGTCTCAGGGACAAACGCTTAAGCGTGTTGGCATTTTTTTATCTGAGCCTGTATTTGGGCACGGTCAAGTTTATGTTTCCTGTTCAAGAGTTCGTGAAAGAACGGACGTAAAATTAAAAATATTGGATGGTCCACTGCAAGGCGAGCTTAAAAATGATGGAAAGGTCTACACAAGAAATGTTGTGTTCAAAGAGATCTTTGACATGTGAATTAACATTCCATTATTTAAATCAGCTTTATTGATTGAGCTAGTGGTGGACTCTTAAGAAATATACCGCCAGTGGTTTCCTTCATTGTACTCTACTTTAAGCAATTAAGCAAGTAGAAGGGGGAAACCCCGTGGGACAGTAAGCAAAAGGGCGTCCTCGCCGCCTGCCCTGGGTAATTCGCTTAAATTAGCAGACACCTTTGCACAAATCATTTTAAGTACAATTTATAATATCTAGAACAGCGATCATTTGGTATGGCCGCCGGGCCTTCTAGTAAATAATATATTGAAATTTTAAAGAAGTAAATAAATATACTACAATCATATCCGTATTTTTAAGCGGAAAGACTTATATCTTTTCCTAATGCGGAAAGTAGATCCATAATTTTACGAATTTAAACAGCAATATGTCTTCCCTTAATAAAGAATCTTTTGAGAGGAATGCCATTAGTTGAAGGAAAATTTAATATGATATTTATTTCGTCAAGGTACATCCCATTATGTAATGATCTGGAGATCCAATATCTACACTGACACAATGATCAAATGATCAGTACTGGTAAATCTATATTTATAGTTGATAATAAAATGTTGTACTCGAAGTAAAAACTGAGAGAGATTTACGTCCTAGTATGAGCCTCCAATTTATACCGAGACTTTTTTTTTTTCCAGAACCCCTGAATCCAGCTCAACCTAGCTTTATTCTTTACACGAGCTGTTTCTTGCAGAGGGAATTAACGGCGAGAAGAAACAAACGAGTGTCGATAAAAAAGCAAAATATCTTCAATCCCCCCTTCCCGTTCCTGCCAACCCCTTCCAAGAACCTTTTCCCTGATGGGAACTTTTGCGTTTCCCGAGCCCTCGGGCTTTAGGCATAGCTTTGGCAAGCGCCCACGCTTTTCTTGTTTTTGGCATGGAAGGGATAGAATGTTCGAACGTACTGATGAGGCAAAGAAAGGGGAGGGAGAACAGTGCGCTGCGAATACCGAGGGATGCAACACGCGTACAAGCAGTCCTTACTACCCGTTTTGGTACGTCCGCCAGTCCATTTTCTCACATACACCCACACACACACACACGCACGCACGCACTCGTACGAAAGGGATTTCAATTAGGCGCACCTATTAGTAGGAAAGGATGATGAGGGATTACCGAGCCGGTAACTATGGCAACCGCTTGGAGAAGGCGGATCGATGGGACGAAGGCGTGCTCCGCAGCTGCCGAGCGATTCCCCGCCAATCGTCGCCATGGCAACCGGCATCTGGAGAGCTCCTCCTATGAAAGCGCAGTCTACACAGAAAACATCCAACAGTCAGCGAGCGATATCCAATAGAATTAACCCTTTTTCCCGGAAAATAACGGTTTAATTTCCGGTATTTACATTCGAAATTGGGCCACAGTGATCCACTCACGAGTGAATGGCAGAAAATGTGTGCTCCGCATTAAAAAGTCGGTCAGGATATAATTCAATTTGGAAGGGTTCGTGGTTCCTTTCTGAAACTGTAACTTAGAGGCTAAGGCTAGTAGTATTCTGTGGTAAGGGCTTCGGCTTGTCCAGTTTAGTTTACATAGGGTTGCCATGCCGGTTAAAGGAAATGCCAGAGGACGGTTGGCAATAATTTATCGAAGTTGGCCGTATTTCTTTAGCGCCAAAAAATAAAATAATCATAATAAGTTTATTAACACAGGTTACATGCAAATCAAATATAGGATGTAAAAGTTTGGCAAAAATAAAAGGCGAAAATTACAGAATGATAAAATATTTATAATTTTTTTTAATTGCATTTCTTTAAAAAAAGCTGAAGTCATCTTTTTCTTTTGGGGAATTGCACAGTGTTCTGTTTTCACATACAGTCAAACTCCGCTATAGCAAACCTTTGGATAAAACGAATGAACTCTTGTGAGGATATTAGGATAATTGGAAGCAGGAGAGATGAAAAATGAGCAACGCCTTCGCCGGGAATCGAACCACGGGACCTCTGGAATATGCGCCCAGCGTGCTGACCACTATACTATGAAGGCATGCTAAGAAAGCGGGAGAAATACCTTATGGCGTTTTCCTATACATTTAATGCGCAGTCGATAAAAATGTCTACGCGCAGTCTATGCGGCTACACGAGCTTTCAAATGCATAAAAATCGCACATAACGAACTTCATGGATACCTTGGAGAGAAAATGTTTTGTTTTCAGCAATACTCAAATAAAACATTACTAACCCTTAAATTCAACCTGTACTGCAATAAAGAAAATCTCCCTTTAGTTACTGTTCTTTCATTTCCACCTTCCCTTCTCCGTGTTCTAAACACAACCCTCTGAAACGTAGTGTAGTACTCAGTTCTTGGAAAACCAGAACACACAATAAATATATTTTAGGAGATACTCTTGTGTTAACACTCAGCCAAAGAACCATCAATTCACTGAGGTAAAGAAACTCGAATCGGTTCTTTTTTTCCATACCTTATTCTTTTATTTCATATATATATACTCTTGGTATTTCCCATTTGTATAAAAAGGGAGGTGCATAACTAGATGTTATAGCAGTCACATATACAAAATTTCAACGTTCTACGACTAATCTCCGTGTTCTAAACACAACGGAGTTATGTGAAATACATACATACGTCCTAGTCGTACAGACGTCACGTAAAAAGTCCATTTTGAATCCATTTCAAAAATTCGTTTTGGAATGAACAGCTCTTTATTCTGTCCGTATGTACATCAAGTCAAGACAAAACGGTCAAAATGAATATTCACAAATTTTTCGCGATTACAATATTTCCTTTATTCCGTACAAGTAAAAAGTAGTCTACAGCCCACGTGAAAAGTTTAATTTGTTCCTAAAGACAGTTTCATCTGAAATATTCGTAAGCCGAAACAATTTTCTCCACAGGATTTTATGTAAAACGAAAGGATCCGTTCTCGAGTCCGAAATAATTGCTTAGAAAAGAGCACTGTAGGCAAGTTCGTAATGTAAAACCCAATATAGTGTAAAACACAATATTTTTTTTAACATAATACTAAACATGTAAAAAATAGGAAACTTTGCATTAAATTTTAACTTTTCTTCTTCTTAAGATTGCTAATCTTCTGAATCGTGAAAATATTTCAGTGTATCTTCTAACCGCGAATTTTTAGAATTTTTCTATGACATTATTTTATTTTATTATTTAATAATCTTATTAATAATATTTTATTATGAATCCCTTAGTTCAGTGGTGTTCAGAAAATCTAAAAATGGAAGTAATTAATTTACATTGTGATATAAAGATATAAATCTTATTCAGAGATTTCAAGATACAAATTTGATTAATTTTTATTAGTACTTATCAAACATAAGTACCGTCACAGTTACGAATTTTTAAAATAATCACTTTTCTAGGAGTACATTCACATGGTAAAAATTTTTTTTTCATAGCTGAATACTAATAAGTTTACGAAAATATACACACTGCCGATGAGTATCTACGATTTGGGACGAAAATATTTTTTACTAATTCCTCTAAGATTACAAACTTTATAACAATCGAAATGCTATGAGGTGAATAACACAATAACAATCGAAATGCTATAGCTGAAAGGTGTAATAAGAAACAAGGAAGCTTATAATTTATTTACATACAAATATTATTTTTTTCTGTAAGCGTTATAGACAAATGTGATAAATAAAAGAAAGAGAATAAGCTGCCATTACGTGTTCTCGAGTTTTGTCACTCCTGGGAATTTTTCGTATATTTCTTTTTCGTCAGCTAAAAGTTAGTAAGTTATTTAATGGTTACTTCAACACATAACAATTATTTTAATAAATGAAAATCACAAAACTGTAATACTATTTAGCTGTAAATGCGTCTGAATTACAAACTGTGACCAACAGAAATTTCTGGTAGATATCAACTTTTAGATTTCAAGCAAAAAAAAAAAAAAAAAAAAAAAAAACTGAAATGTTTCAGATTTTAAATTACGTCCAAAGGGGCGTTTTTAACATTTTATGTGTTACCTTTCCTTTATTAAATATCATGTTCCTCGCACTTAAACCATAAGATCCAGTGTCAACAGCAATATCGCAAAATAGTTTTAAAACGAGCATATCTTTAGAATTTCCGATACAGAGACTCACGCGCTGGAGAGATAAAAATGTTTTTTTCTGCACAACGTTGCCATTGCTCGCTTTGAAATCCTTGAGTTTGTTAATCAAAAATTCGTCAAAGTTTTAAAAAATAGGAAATCGATCATAAAACAAATTTCAAATTTGGTCTTCCACATGCTCATATTCGTTGGAGGATTACGTTATTAAAAATTCGATGACTCTATGTACCGTTATTTTATGACAATGTGAGAAATATACATACATTTACGCAGATTTTCATTATTTAATTTTTTCAAATATAATGCAGGACTCTAACATTTTATGGCAACAGTTTGAAAAGTGAACCGACATTTATGAGTCCGACGCAAAATGCTAAAACGAAACTAATAGTCCTTCGGGACTCAAGTCCCTTTGGACTAATAAGTATAAATTTGAATTTGTTTTCTTTGCGTTATTCCTATATTTATGTTTTGACAAAAAGGTAACAATTTTTTTTAAAAATTTAGTTAACAAATTTTCTTTCGTTATAACCAGGAAAAACACCTTTTTCTTCTTACTCTTTCATTATTATTATTACGGCCCGCCAGCTATTTTCAGATGATGCATTTGGCCTGCGTGCACCTTCAGTTTGAGAGACTAAGCTCATATCATATTATGGAACCTTGAATGTAATTTCCTTCATGTGAACTCTCTCAAAACGTCTATATGCACCCATACGAGACCCGGATGGGAAATGCTAAAATAAAGAATAATAGCTGAATATGATAAGAATAACACAGCTGCCAACCTTGAAATCTGAAAAACCGAGAAGTTTTCCCGCTGTGTGGCAATGCAATTTCAAAGGAGCTCTCTTAACTGACTTGAATTAACTGGATTATGTGTCTATAATGTGTAATTAGAGTCATTATACTATTTGTAATGTAATTCTGTTGTAAAATATATTAGCATTTAATCCCATATTCGAAATTTTATGCTAACTGGCTAAAATTATTTAGTAATTTATTACACTTGAAAAAAGCCCGAATAGGGAAAACATTGCTTTTATTCACCGAAGTTCTTTCAAATACGATGAAAATAAAATTAACACTTAATGTATATAATATTTATCTGGATAAAATTAGCAATGTATCAAATAATGAAGCAAAATAAATAGAAATATTAACTCAGTAATTAATGGCTGAATCTTCAAAAAGTGTGTATAAATTTCTACAGCAGATTAAAACGATTCAAATCAAATAAAATTATAAGGTACTTTTCCCGCCTTCTTGTCATGCCTTCGTCGTGTGGTGGTCCGCACGCTGGGCGCGTATTCCCGAGGTCGGCGGTTCGATTTCCGGCGAAGGCGTTGCAAATTTTCATTTCTCTTGCTTCCAATTAACTTAATGTCTCTATAGTGGCGCCCGAACTAAAAAGTGTGTTGGGTAATGATTCTCCATACCCAAGATTTGGTAATTTGATCCCCTAAAACTCCAGTCGCCCTTTAAAATGAGGAGTATATAAGGTATTTCTCTCGCCTTCTTGGCATGCCTTTGTGGTGTGGTGGTCTGCACGCTGGGTGCGTATTCTAGAGGTCCCTGGTTCGACCTGGCGAAGGTGTTGCTCATCTTTCATCTGGCCTACTTCCAAAAAAATACCTAATGTCTCTACAAAATATCGTAAGAAAAGTGTCAATAAATCGTGATAAGACAAAAAATAGAGTTCAGGTGAAATTAAATATAAATAAATAATTAAAAAAAATCTGCGAGGGTTCAGGTATTAACGATCGCACAAAAGGATTGCTTAGGGTTTTCTACGCTCTCGCTGAGCTCGCAGTCTACCAGTCTGCTGTTCCACTCATTCCTGCTAAGCCATTTTAGCTTCATTATTAAGCATCTTCTTCGCAATTACTCCTTTTTCAACAGCAAAATTACAAATATTTTTAAAGTATATGTTTATAATTCCCGATTAAATGTGAAGTGTTGGTATAGATTTGCCTACTTTTTTCAGTCTCTTCTCTCTGTTCAGTTTTCTTAGCAAGATGGCTTGCAAAATGTTTGTTTTGTCGTTTTATTATTAATGTTTTGTGCGTTGATTAAACAATCATGTTCTTCGCCTTTAAGCTACATAAAATTCAATTCAACAGCAAAAGGACAAAATATTTAAAAACAAGACATCTTTAGAATTTCCGATAGACAGTCTCACGGCTGGAGATAAAAATGTTTTATTCCGTACAGTGTTGCCACTGCTTGCTTTCGAATTGCTGAGTTTGTTAATCAAAAAATCATTTACAGTTTTACAAAATATAAAGTATGAAATTCGAAATTTAAAATTCGGGTTTCTAGGCGCACAAGATCGGGTGGAGGGTTACGTTATTCCAAATTTGATGACAATACGTAACATCGTTCTTTCACAATCGGAGGAACATACATACATACATACAGGTTATTTCAATATTTAAATTCATTAAAAATAATACAGGGCGGCAATATTTGTTGGCAATAATTTGAAAAGTGATATAACCGTTTATAGTGAAAGACGCAAAATCCCGTTTTGTGACAAACAGCCCATTCAAACTAACGTATTTTGGGGCTGAACAGGAAAATTATTCTAAAATTCATTAGGGGTAGAAGAATAGAATTTACCAGTTTAACTTTCATTAATTCAATAAATTTTATTTATTGCTGGAAAAATTTTCATCAGTAAACGTTTAAAATCCAAATCCAGGAAATTCGGTTATCTACCCGGAGATGTGATCAGAAACTGGGAAAGTTGACAACTTTGGAATAAGAATTTGCTTTATGAAAACAGGAAGGAGAAAGAACAGTTAAGGACGCCTAATAACAAGATACCGAGATTTTAAAATCTTAAATTTTTGCAATTCGATAAAGTTATTTTTGAAAAACACATTGGGGGGGAACGTCTTTCATTTCTGTACAGCTGTAGTTGGTTTATAACCTT